TGAGATGACATGGCCCTTCACCTGTGACCCCTCTCGAAAGGGTTAAAATGATAAATTGTATTACACTGACTGGGTTCTATAAGTTTATTTGAACAATGATATTGTGATTGTGTTTAACCCCATTGTTCCAGTGTATTCTACATTTCTATTAATCTTTATATAGTATATATAATTTATATACAATTTGTTTTGTTACATATACTGAAGAGATCCAAAAAACTTGCTTACACCTAAAAAGTCCAATATTTAAAAAAAAAGCATTTAAGGTGGTTTTCATTAAGTGTTTTTTTATCATATAATTATTGTTAGAAATTGTAAAAATTGTAGATGTTACTTCATGTGCTCAGTCTTCTTGCTGTTTTTCTTTTGCATTTTCAGACATTGACTGTGGAATACATTTTGTTATATTTTTTGTACATGTTTATTTTTAAATAAATATTTAGGGACTACTTGATGGTCAACTTGAATTTGTTGATGTTCAAGAAGAAGCACAAGTGTACTTCAAAAGGTAAGTTAATTATCTGTATGCTTTGCAGTTGTATTACAGAGTTTAACCTAAAGAATATTTGAGTTGGGAATTTTTTACCTCTAAACATTTTAGAATATCCAGATTTGTATAAAAGCCATTCTGTTAACAGTATATATGCACAGAGAATAGACCTACATAAACAACTAGATATTCAAATTTAAGTATCAGTACGTAAGTGCAGAGGTTTTATTGATGATTTTGGTTGGATGCATTCTTCAGTTATAGCTGAAAGAAATCAGTTTTGTAAGAAATGTTTTCATAAAAAATATATGAGATTTTTTAAAAAACGAACAGCTATGGTTTTAGCTTAGTGAACTTCTTTATGGATTTAACTTTAGACTTTTATTGTTATACATCATGGTATGTTTATAAAAAATAAATAAAAAAATGGTATGTGCATGGTTCCTGTTGAACATGTAAAGAAATCAAAAGTTTTAATTACATTACATAAGCCTATAGCCATTAGCTCTACACTAGTCTGACCACTAAGCCAGAAAAAAACCACTAATGAAGCATTGCTGTCATGGAAATTATGCACAAGTGTAGCTAACCATAAATAGAGGGTTTCAGATGGAAACTTTCTGCATAAACAGTGGTTTTCTAGTAAGAGCTACAGGTATTGATAAAAATAAGTAATTTGCAGGAAAATTGGACTGTAAATATGTGTATGATTTCTTTTCAATAGTTTTGGTTAACTAAAAATATGGCAGAAAACAAATATTTTGAAAGGTATGCTAGATCAGAAGGTCTTGGTTGTTTTTACTTTTTATATTATTATGTGAAATTAAGACAGAATTAATTATGGTAAAGTTTTTTATTTGTTTTTACATGAAAAGCTACCATCATTAGTCAACTTTCAGGATATCTTGATCTATGTATTGTTGAAGTTCAATTTTACTATTTAGATTGTTGTAGCTAAATTATCTTAAAAACTCTAGTTTTATCTTTTATTTCCTTTATGATGATGTATTGAGCAAGCTCTTTTTTCAAGTCAGAAACAAGTTTGCAATAAAAGACTGCAGGATGCTCTGAAAGAAACCAATACACAAGAGCAGAATGTAACACAAATTTAATATGAGATATAGACATGAGATTCAAACAACTTGATAATAATAATATAAGAAAGCTGAAGAAAATAGTGACAAGTTATTGATTAAGGAAATAAAAAATGATTAAAGATGTACAAAATATATATATATATATATTAATACTTTTACCTTAAGCTCATTTAATTTGTGGAAAATGTATCGTAAATTTCACTTGTGCAACAATACGTACGGTAACCCTGAGATTTCTTAACGTATACTCTTAAAAACTGGTAAGATTTTGTTAAAGATCATAAGTGCTTTTACTAAAAATATGTTATTTATCTATTATAATTACTTGCACTCAAACTCTTAGTAAATCTTTTCTTTTCTTTTGTCCTTTACCATTTATTATTCATCTTGACATAAGTCAATGGTGCCCTTGAGGCATATTACAGTGTCTGTGTCAGAGATGCACAACCCTTCAAAAAATTATTGTAAGCCTTGAGAACTAACACAAAGTATGATGTATATTTAAAAAATGTTTAAACCTTTCAGTTATGTATTTTAAAACATGAATAAACATAATTAACTAAGATATTAAAATAGGACTTAAATACAATTTAACCGTATCTCTAACTATAACATAGTTAGGTAAGAAACAACCATAAGTGCTATAGTCGATCAAGCAGCCAACAATACTACAGTCAGTTATTTGTACTTTGTGATGACAACTGTGTGCCAATTTCCAAATAACCATTGTTAGATTATTGTGTAAAATGTGCTCTTTATAATGACTATATACATGTGCATGTAGGCTATAAAACATGAACAAATCTGTTGAAGGTGGGCATGGCATCCACCCAACTGCCATGGTATTATTGAAGATACAGAGTGTCAAAATGAAGAATTTTCATAGCTCATTGTTCACGTAACAATACATCTGAAGTTTTGAGTAGTTTTTTAAAGATTTGAAAATAAAGGACTTAAAACTTAGATAACATAAAACTTTGATTCATGACATACATTATAATGTTAATTCACATAATTTGATAGTAAAGGTGTTGATAGTAAATTTCGAATGTAACTCAATGATTTGTGCAGAAACGTGTTTAAAGGGATACATGTGTGGAAAGGGTAAATAAAAACAAACTGAAAACATTGAAATAAATAACTTAGAACAATTTTAAAAACAAGAAAGATGGTTATTTTAGAAAATAGGGAAGTGTTCATTTGTACCAAAAAGACTTGTACAATTTAATTTCAAAATTATTTTATTTCCAATTATGATTCTTTGATGGTGGAGTGAACATATTGTAAGGGAAAGTACTTTAACCCTATTGTCATGGGTATCCATTACTGCCCATGACAAAGTTTTAGTGTCTTACATTCAGTGTTTTAGTAAACTACTTTTTGTTTATGTTTTACCAATTAATATAGCATAAAATCTTAGCTGATAATTCATATTTTAATAGTATGTAAGTTTTAAGTTCTTAATTCTAAAAGGCAATATTAAAAAAAATCCTGAATTTCCCCTAGTGTGACACACATGACACATTTTCTATAGGCATCTTCTCTTTTTTTATCCACCACCCCTTTAAGATCTACGAAATTAAATGTAAATTACTCACTATCAAATTGTCATTTCTCGGACAAACCATAATTTTTATAGCCATCAATTTTGTTTAGTTACAGAGCTATCAGATAGAAAATCAGACCCCTCCTGCCACACCCACCTGTCACATCTTCCTTTTCAGGATTTATTAATAGTTCTCTCTTACGTTTAATTATATATTACCTATAACCAATAGAAAGTCAAGGTTTTCACCTATCAAATGATGTATTGTATAATGTTGTGTTTTGAACAGATAAGCGTTAATTTCACTCAGAGTA